CAAAACGCCAGCTTTCGGGAATAATGGAAACGGTCTGTACACGGAGAAAATTGATTTATTGAATCAAAAAAATATGTTGTCCTATATATCCACGACAAATAATCTTGTTACTTTAACGTCATTCCGTCACTCTGTGACAAAAATTCAAGTATGGACGAAGTAGATAAAAATTTTTATAAAGGAATGGTAGATGAATGAATAAATAAATAGATGAATGAATTATCATGATACATGATAATCCTACGGAAGTACGAATATACTCAATCGTATAGGTATGAACCTATAAATATCAATATCATAAAATAGATAATACATTCAATCGAATGATTGGTTCAACTGACAACATGTTAGTTAAAATATTCGTCGTAGATGTAGCACAAATTATTTTTTCGATTCAATTGTTTTTTTTTTCTACATGTTCTACATGGAATATCTTCTAGGTATATTTTTTATATTTTTCGGATTTGCTCTGCTCGTCTCTATAAAGGAAATTATTATAGTATAATCTTCATATACCTGAAGTGAGGAATACTGAGATCACCCTCAGAACTGACTGGTATAATTGATGTGTATAATTTGTTGAATCAATATTGAATTAATGAATCATACATCCTATGAGAAAACCCCATTTTGTTCTATATAAATTAACTTTAGGTCAGAGTCGATTCATAGTTTCCTCATCGTTCGTTATTTTCTTCGTTTTTTTATTTGAGTACTGTAGTTATTGGAAATTGAGGGCTAATTCAACATCAAGATGAAAGAAGAATAAATCTCGAAATCTTCTCTACAAGAATAAATAGTCGAACATTGTTATATTACATAGGGGGACAAAAATGTTTCGGGCCTATAATAAGCCCATCATCAGCAAAAAACTATATCTATCTATAACGTCCTTACAATAATAGTTCAAACTAGTGAGAAATATGTGTTGTATAAGTGCTAGTTTTATTAATTTGAACCCCTCTTCATCTTCTTTGTTTTCTATACTTTCGAGGAGATTCAAAATCGATTCTCCATGTTGGTATCAATCATATTGAGAGAGTGTTGCAATATCTCTTGAAATATACAGGGTATACAGAAATATATTGATTTTTTTTATATGGAATTCGCTGTATATTTTGACAGATAAAGATCCTTCTATATATATGTTTCAAATCATCGAAATATACAGGGCGTTTCATTTGAAAAATATATTTATATTTGATTAGATATTGCATCATTCTCAAAATGAGTGAAATCTGTGCGAAACATTGTATAAAATCAGTTTTGAAAATCTTTGGATGGGTGGAAAACAAGAAAGATTAAGGAAGGTTCACATTAATAAAACTAGTCCTGTACATTGTACTTACATGATGAAGGAAAAATTATTCTTGAAAATTGAAAACCATCTTGAATTCATGGAATACAGAATCAAAAACAGAAAATTAACAGGGCTCTTCATTCTGAGAGGGGCCTGTACTCTCTGATACAATCCCTGGAGGTTTTCATGTAACAGAAATGCGAAATTTATTTTTATCAAATTCCGTGAAAATCGACATGGGTTTCTGAGTGGAAAGATTTCAACGCGACATATATGACAGGTGGAACAGGCCAAGATGTTTCTCAAACGGACATGAAATCAAATGAAACAAGTTGAACAAAAACTGATAATATGGAAAAGGTTGTGTTGAAATAGGTAACTAAATCATAATTATTGATGGAACAAGTAAAGAGGGAAACTACGAATATCAAACAAACTATAGCGAGTTGAAGGATTGAATGCATACAAAGTATGTCTGTTCATTGGAGGAAATAGAATTATTATCCTTCAAAGAGAAGTTGATTTCGAAGATATCTAGTAAGTTGAGTGAACGTCCTCCTTGACAGCTGTGTTTTTTTCGTTTTGCTCCTGAGATTGCATCAGAGGGTAAACAGGCCGCTCACAGAATGAAAAAACCGTGTTAATTTTCTGGTTCTCAATGTATTCTATATTTCATAAATTCAAAATGGTTTTCCACTCTCAAGAATAGTTTCTTCATCTTCATGTAAGTAAAATGTATTCAACACATTTTTCTGTTACTAGTTTGTCGGACGCTATAGATCCCTCTTTGTTGATGATAGACTTATTATATGCCCAAAACATGTGCCCTTATGTAACATAACAATGTTCACCTATTACATGTCGTGAAGATGATTTCGAGATTTATTCTTTCCTCAAATACTACCACTCTACTTTGAAGATTATGGACTGCTTCACATGTTTAATATCAAGATCTTATTTGTTTTTGTGAAAGGTGCATTTTTCTCTGCGTATAGATATACAAAGTCCGGAGCTTATTCAACCTATTCAATATTGAGATAAACGATATTCCAGTTGATGTGAAATAGAATATCATAGTGAATACCCAATAGTGGATGATTAGAATGTGTTCTTGCTGTTGGGTTAAGTGGGGGTGCAAGTGCCGATATTCTCATCGGTAAATTGAACTTTGCCATTTGAGTTCTCATTTTATGTGTGAACATGTCTGTTGCATTTATAATTATCATTATTATTGGGTTCAACTGATATTTTCATTTAGAGACAAGGAGAGAGCATCCCAAGAAGAGTTTTAATTCACAAACAACATATCCCATTATCGCTCGTGATTATGCAGTAAATTACAAATTTTCAGTAGAGATCATTTTTATTGATGATGATTATAATCAGACATGAGGAGGATAGGTTCCGCAAATGTTCAGAATCCATAAACTTCGATCATCACTCTTGGATCACCGAGAGGAGGAACCCTGAGGAATACTTGAACGTCGCCAGCAGCCACGTCAATTCTCAGACAGTAAGCTCGAGATCTTCCAAAATTGAGGACTCTCACTGAGGATACTCTTGCTGCCGAAATTGAAACAGTCCTGTAAAAGATTAGTTGAGATATTCTTAGGTTATCAAGATGAGTCTCTTTTACTGTGATAAATATAATATACAGTGTGGAAACCAATGATGGAATAAAATTCAAATATACATAACATGAATACATATTTTCAAATACTCGGACAGGTCAATTTCAATTCAAAAAGATCTATATGCTTTTTTGCGAAATTCTCCAGCTATCTGTCGACCTCCTGCCTCTTTATGCTTTCTACTATAAAAACCTGAATATTTTACCGATATCAAATTGTTCTTGACTTGAATGGGTCGTCATTCGATAAAGTTGAGAGCTGACAGATATATGAGTGACATTGCCTATAAGAAGGAGAGACAACGCTATTCCTTTCATCATGTACTTATTGGTACATATACCTAGCGTGATACAGGGTGTAACACAGGAGCGTTCAAATCTTCAATGCTCGTATTCCTGGAACAATCTTTGAGAAAAAAGTTTTCATAAACTTGTGTCCGGTAATGCTTCTCTTCGAACTTATATGAACAGTTCCTTGCACAATGTTGTACATGTGCTTTTTTCATTTTGAATAAACTTATTTATTTTGACGAGATCTACCACATACTCAATTTTTATAATATTTTCAGCACCTTTACTTTGCGCCCTAGAAACTAAATAATGAGCATCGAAATGAAAACTTTTGGAAAAAGTGAATAGCTTTTCCATGACAGGAGGAGGAAATATGGTTTCCTCATGAAAAGTGTCAAAAGTTGACTGTTATGACAATATTGAATGAATAATAACAGAATACGCTGTAGCGTGTATAATACAAATATTATGCTTAACTCGCCTATTTATGTAATGTGCAATAACTATAACTGTATTGCAAACATGTGTGACATATTCAGTTGTAGTATTAGTTGTTTAATTAAAATTGTAAATTTGCTGCCATAGGATAACCATGTGATTAGCTATAATTTCGTTATTTCTTAAATTATTTTGATCTTTATTTAGCTATGCTTCATCATATTCTGTAATATTGTCCTGTAAATGGGTAACTGTTGGACAATGAAGCTACTATTATCATAACGATTTGTGAGATTGAATCATACTGAGGTACTGAATTTTATGAATATAGGATAAATAGTTACAAAGATGATTGAAGAGAACTGGATTCAAGAGCCTACCTTCAAAGAATTGGATAGGACCTTTTATTTAATCTTTATAGACATATAGATCTAAATACACACTTTAGATCTATGTCTTTATGTGCGGATTAACCTCTCGGAGTATACGAACTTTATTCTGGGACACCCTGTATAGTTTTTCATCAGTCATTCATGATTTCAAATATCCTTCAATAATAACTTCAATAACGTGTACCATCTCTGCTGTGAAAATTTTTTTAGGGTTATTTTACAGTTCTCTTGATATTCCCATAGATTAACGACTCCTATTCCTGATATGCAAATTGATATGATCGAACCCAAAATATGTTATCTGTGATGACATTAATTGATAGCAAATATCAAAGTCTATTTCTATTTCAAGAATTTGACTGAGTTATACCATGATAACATTGATTCCATCAATGATATTTCCTACTGCAGTCATTATGTATTTTCATCTTGAGGTGAAGAAGTACCTATCCACAATGAAAAATCGAATATACCGGTAGTGCATAAAATGTGGTATGTATTTCGGGCGTAACTTGCTCTTAATAGAGCCCTTGCTGTCGCTCGTGCTCTCACATCCACACTCCAGTCCATAAAAGCCTATTTTACGCCATTGATATATAAATAACTATTGTTAACCCTTTATTCCTGATGCCAATGTGTAACCGTTCTTGCAATTATGGTGACTGGGTAATCAAAAATAGTAGAAATGAAGAGAAGTGGTTCAAACTGAGAGCAAACTTACTCAGATATCGTAAAGGAATATTGAATATGTTGCTCTTATACACTTCAACGCCCTATGGCCCCTCAACGTACCCTACACCATATGAACTAGTAAAAATGCCTCCAATTCATCTCCCGAAGATCTACTCAATTCGTTAGAAAATAAAATGTCAATCATTTAGCTATCAAATTGAAAACAGGTGACCTTTTTGTGAGTGTACATGATTGAATTTATAATATACCTTCATACCATCTTATTGTTTGCTCGTAACTTGACAACTCCTCTGTTATTATAACTTCCCTCAATAACAACGCATCCTTATTTTCTCTGAATCTGTATATGAGATCACCATAATTTCCTCCATTGTCCGGAGGTAGGTCTGCACTCTTCTCTTCAGGAAGTTTCGATTCGAAAGAGATACCATCGTTGTTGACTACTGCAGTTGGAGGAATTTCTTGTAGCGAAATAAACTGGAGTTCAGAGGTGAAATCGTAAGTCAATGTTGAAGAAAATTGAAAGAGTAATGCTGCTAGTAGTAGGACAATCATGGTTGAAGTAACAGTTCACAAACGAGAGTATATGCATAGAACTCAAGTAGCAACCTGGATAAATCCTTATATATATAACTTGGAGTTGGCCATATCGTCATTTGATTTGAATATCATAGTGTTATTCTAAATTCGTTCCGATATACCTTCGATATCAAGAATACCTAAGTGAATTAACGAATGTTGAAGCTTCTGTGATAAGATAATCCAGTATGGAACGAATGAGGTGATGATAATATATTGACGCAGCATTTTCTTTTTCAATTAGCTATTTGGTCATAATATTTTGATGCAATGAATTTTTATATTTTTGATACAATGTATAAAGATGTACCATTGAACAGGAGTTATATATCGAGTATAGCTGTTGTAGATGATTTGTACAGAAGAGGTAGTCGACATTAAATTATATATACAATTAACACCAATAACAATTCAAACAATCGATACGAATATACATATACAAATGATACGAATATATCATCAAAAATATTTATTCCATTTGTTAGTATCTAGCAACTAGATGCGCTACTGCTCAGTGGAATGTGCTTAGATCAGAGCCTATGACAGTAGCATCTAGCAACTAGATGCGCTTCTGCTCAGTGGAATATGCTTAGATCAGAGCCTATGACTGACGTGTGTGAAGACTGGCTCATACAGTGTTCGGCAGGCAGCCGAGTTAAGAGCAACTGTAACCCTTGTCCATGTCATTTGTGCTCGTGTTCATTGAATTATGACCATAATATTACACCATTCTTCAGTAATTCACAATAGTTATTGTGCCTGAATTAATATCAATACATCTTTACTCAACAACTCAACTCAAATCATTGACATGTGGTCGTACACTGATCAATAAAAAATGTAATAAGATTTTTCAATGTAACTAATCGAATACAACAATATACAGGGATACATTGAAATGAATACAAATATTTCAAGTCTTAAGAGAGCTCGACGGACACTATCGAATCAACACGCATAAAAAATTATATAGGAACCTAGATTGAAATTGTGGTGAAACTCCTTTTCCCAACCAAAATTCTGCACTGTAGCAATTCTGATGTCACCTTTGTTAAAATTTCTATGTCGAATGCACAATCACGCTGGTTTAATCGTTTAAATTGTTTCAGAGTGGCGTAACTACTTGAATTTTTCTTTTTTCTCTCCATTTTCGGCATGCATGGATTTCTCGGTTATTATAGAGTAATTAGAGTCGATCTCATATTTCGGGAATATTCGTTAGACTGAATGATATTGATGTGCTGAATATATGGTACAATATGTATACTTATTCCAAAAACACCTCGTATTTAAAGTACCTTTCTCAAATATCCAGAATAAACTAAATGAAACGGAAATGAAAGAAGGACTATCTAACTTCATAGTATTTCTGGTATCTTCCCCATAAATCACCAGCAAAAAAAGATAGTCGTTATTAGATATTGGTGATATCATATATAGCTAAATAACAGTTGAGAGAACGATTCTGCTTCAGTGAACATTGTGTCGAAATGATTCGAAAAGTTTGGAGCTTGGGATGGTCCTGAATCTTGGTTCATTAGTAATTGATCTTTATCAGAATTAATGTTGATACTTCCCAAACTAATCAATTTCCTTTTGTTTGTAACATGTATGAGAAATCTGAATTTTCTATGTCACTCATTTTCACATAATTTTCACATAATCCCTCCAATCGCAAGCCAAAGAAAACACTAGCTGTCTTTCAATTCTGATTGATGTTTTCGAATATGTTTAACCATCAATAACAAAAGGAACCTATCAGATATAAAATAATTATAGCTCTAGGTGTCAGAATAACTCGCCTTGGTTATATGGCTTGCTCATTTATAATAAATGCTTCTATAATGTTTCGTTAAATAGTCTAGAGCAAATACCACTCTGTTTCGAATATCTACTGCTATTTATGTCTCCCATTGTTGTGTTGCCGTCCTGACGGACTCATGGTGTTGCTCACATCAGTTCCGTAAACTATGAACTAGGCGAAAGAATTATCCCGAATATTTTCAAATAATCGGACCAATCACAAGCCAAAGACAAATTGTATTATCAGTAGTAATACTGAGAAGTTCTTCAAAATAATCGTGTTGGATTATATCAACTGTTGAACCGACACTCTTTGTGATCATGCAACAGAAAGTTATCGATGTATAGCCTTGAAGATTCTGAAAATCGAATTGTATTCGATGCGATTATTTTTTATGTAACCATCAAATTTCACGACACGTTTTCTTTGTATGTAACAATATGAATTGTATACTATGAAAATGGAAACACTCATAAATTCCTGATTGGTGGAACTACTGAATGTATATCCACGTAAATTCCAAATTATACAAGGTAGCTTGACTCAATTGAACGTTTTGATTGGTTTAAAATCATATGAAGAATATATTCGCGACATTACTATAGCTGTCTTTTTTTTTCTGATAGATCTATCAGTGTTGGTGTTTTCAACGATGTAACTATGGATATCAAAGTACAGTTTGTTAGGATGACATGAAATGATTGTAGCTGTATATGTCGAACTAATCGCTTTGGTTATATGGCTTGTTCATATACTATAATGAATGATTCTCATGCTTCATGAAATAGTTTAGCAGAATACTACTCTGTCCAGGATATCTTTTCATAAGTCTGTCTCTTATTGTTAACTCAATTGTGTTGAAGTTTACCATTACCACTTGTCCTGACGGATTCGTGGTGTTGCTAGGCAACACGATTTCGTGAGAATTATACCGAAAAACTGTCGAAAATATGAAGTTCAACATTTATTTCATTGAACCGACTCTATCCGACATAAAAAAATTGTTCTTTGATTCTTGCGCCAATGCTCCGACGGGTTTGCCCAATATATTTCATGTAACGCAATCATCCTTCTTGGATTTTATCAAGCAGAGTGAAGCAAATTGTTGATCATTTGCAATCACACTCATCACAGTATTGTACCAAATCCCACATGTTTAGCGACAAATAAGCTCAACTATCGATACACAACTTTCAAAAAATACCGCGTAATATGTGGTCTATCAATAATGAAAACCCTGCCACATAAATACATTTACCTACGTACTTGATACCAAAACTTCACAATATAATTCCTCACTCAATTAAAGGCATTGAGTCAATAAAACGCTTCAAGAAATCCCTGAGGAAATTCAATTTCACCAATTCGGTATTATCGGTTAATTCAAAGTAAAATAACCTCTTTGAATACATCTGTTCTAGAAAGTGAGTGTTATTGTCTTCTCATTCATTCGTTTTTACAGCTCTGAAAGAACTGTGATATGACTCACTCCGTGTAAGTAGAAATTCACTCTTTTTTCATCTGATTAGATGTTATACTGAAACAAATATGTTGCTTTTCAGTATATTTCAGTAATACGTGTGACTAAGGGAATGATAGTTGGTATGTGATTGTAAAACACTTCTCATCACAAAATCCAAATTCCTAACTCACACCAAAGTTGAGGTGACTGATTGACTTCAAAAGCCTCTTCTTTTATGTTGAAATTTCTTATTTTGAAGTGACTCACCCCACTATATATGAAACATCTCAACTATTTGACATTTCAAGAGTTAATAGGTCGCGTGCACGATGACCGACCCTGGAGGCAAAATATTGAGACACAACCTCACTCTTCTGTGAATTATTGAAACACAACCTCACTTTTTTATTTGTTCACAGAGGAATCAGAAGGTTGAAATAGTTTTTCACAATATTTTGGCATACGAATCGTGTTTCTTGCGTTATTCATTAATTCAAGCATGCCTTCGCATTGTGCTGTTGTACAATGGACAAAAAATGCAGCAAGAGACTAGGGAATATGATTTTTCAGGTAAATAGTAATCTCACATAGTTATCATCATGAGTTGTCATTCCTTATTGAAATTCCGTCTGCCTTCTGCCACTTCTGCAATACAAGCTAATACTGCTAATAGATTGAAAATGTCTACAACACACACGATCGTCAGCATGTCAGACTAGTCGTCCCGATTGATTGCATGAATCCAATCTTCTTGCATTATTCTAGAAATTTCAAGTATATTTCTATAAGCTCCTATTGCAAAAGGAATTCCGATGAGAAATCAGAGAAATAACCGAATTTCAAAAATGAAAACTATATGTGAGTGACTATACTTACTTTTAAATCATAATGTACCATCCGGATTCCTTCATCTTCCGCTGCAGTTTTTGTGCATTTTACAACAGCACAATGTGATGGCATGAGCGAATTGATGAATAGCGGAAAAATACGATTCATATGCCAAAATAATTGTGGAAAACTATTTCCATCACTTGTAAACAAATAAGAAAAGTGACGTTGTGTTTCAATGTTTTGCCTCCAGCGTCGGTCATCTGACAGTTCTTGCAGACAACCCATTCATAATATATTCATAAATTCAATTCGATTTAATATAACTGACAATTATTAAAGTCATACTTTTTCGAGGGTTTAATCGGTTGTAATGTTTTTATCAATCCATACTCTCGCATAACCACCCCGATGTTCAGCTTTTGTTCAGTAATTGGAATAAATATTATCCACCACTTTTATATTCGCCGATAAATATTCCATGTATAGGTCTGTAAATATAAGCACAATTTCGATCTTTGCTATTCATTATTCCGAGGTATACATCATACATTTGTTTTGTTTCGAAATGTAGGCTTATTATTTGAGTTGTGATATTCAACATGAATGGTAATTAAATTTTGAGAATGATTTGTCGATGAAATGCTTGAGTATTTATATAACCTGAACTCGCTACTTGAATAAACTGGAATCAGTTCATTCCATTCACGCTCTCTCTACAAAAAGTTGTCAATACACTTGCCATTTATATAATTTTACATAATTCCCAATAGTTTATGAAAGACATGCGAGGAAAGCAATATGTGCACTCCACAGCAAGAAAATAGTTGATATTATCAACAGAACGGTCTCGGTATCGAATTTAACAAAACATTATTTCAA